ATAGCTATAGAATTGAAAGAGATGTTTATTTACAGTTCTGTTTACAATTCCCAAGAAAATCTATCCAAGGGACCGCTGTAACTCGATAACTTGATCATTGGAAAGAACATTTGCTCTGCAACCCTACAAATGGGTCTTATTAAGAGGGTTCAACACACGACTAAGAATCATTTGATTCTTAGTCGTGAGATGAATTCTTTTCACAATAAAAATAATAATCCTTGCATTTGATATGGCACTTTGTCATGCGTTGAGACGTCTCAAAGCACTTCACAGAAGCTACTGTGAAGTGTAGTGACTGTATTTGTAGATGAACGATAATGTTATCAAACAACGTAAGAAAGCTTCAGTAATACCTTGCTATCTAGTTTTCATAATGTGACCATGGCACCAATGGTAAATGAAGATTTTTTTTGTTTTTGGAATGGTGCTCATCAGATGACTAGAATGTTTCTGAATCTTAATTTAGTTTGTGGTCTTATTAAAGAATTGCTTGGTTCCCCGTATAACAGGATAAATGAAGTGCCTTATTTTCTTTCTGAAGGAGGCTCTGACTTACTGAATAAACCAAAATGCGTTGTGCTTTGTATAGGGTTGCCGAGCAAATGAATTGTACAGATCAAGACAATCCCAAATTTGATCTTGTCCACACTGTCTCAACTAGAATGATGTGCGGATCCTGTAATAGGCCTGTATTTCTAGACTAAGCAAAGGAAAAATGTGCCAGTTTCTGCCTCCTATGTATTGTTTATTGACTCTGGAAAGTGTAGTTGTGTGGATGTAAGATGAGGGTCTAATCAGACTCGGGCTGTAACGCCTCACAATCAAATAGTCTGCAGATGAGTGGCAATATTGATAAGCTACTGAAACCATACTCCAGCATCAGTCAGCACGTTCACGAGAGGGAGAAAGAACAAATTGCTTGAGGACAAAACCTTGCAATAGGCTCAGACCTTGGTTTTGTCTGGAAAAAAAATCCTGTTTACTAGTATTTCCTTTCAGCGAATTAAGAAGACTAACCTTGCTTGTTGTAGATGGGGCTTCTGATTGTAGCTGCTATCTTTGCTCTGATTCTGAGGCCAATTGCTGAAACATGACATTTCTTCACGTCCCACCACTCCATTCTCCGCTGCTTATTCCTTTCAGTGGAGCAGCAAAGGTGCTGAGTGCCAAGGCTAATTGAATGATCTTTGTGTTTCAGTGTATAGCCTTGGAAACGTGGCAAAGATGGCAGCCCCAATTGGGAGGCCAGGCACCGCATGGTAAGCTTTTAAGCTTTTTTTTATTTTTAAAAATTAGATAGGGAGAATATTTTTCAGATGAGTACTTGAAGGTAAGGCCATGACTGGCTTTTAACCTGAAGTATCCCCTTTAAAGAATTTGAAACTGCTTACAATCCAGGTTAAATGGAAGTAACATTACTGCATTTTGTCAATTTGATTCTGAGTGTTCAGGTTTATATTAAAATAGCATTGCTTGTTCTCAGCAGAACCTTCCAGCACATTTCCCTCTTTGTTCTGTACCTTTATTAGACAAGATTCATCCTTCTGTTTCTGAATGAGAAGTGAACTGATATCACTTCTGTATTTGAGATTGTGTATTTGAGTGCAACTGATTGGAAAACTTCAGGTTTAAGCTAATCAAACAAAAATCAATTAAATGTACTGCGGCACTGTTACTTCTGGGTACATCTGTTTGGAGCCTGGAGAATGTTCCTTTTAATTATCAAATGGGTGAAAATCGGAATGTGATTTTCAACGGATTGTTGCATCAATTTTTAATTTATTATAACATTTATTCCTGCTGATATGCTGCTGGTCCACATTTTTTCCTTCAGTCTATCAGTGTAAAAGGAATTTACATAAATGCAGAAAGAAAGAACTTTGTATTTTTATAGTATCCATTATGTTAAAGCATCGTTTGTGTATTCTGATTTAAAGAAATTATTGATGAAGCCTTGTGACTTTTTGTAGACATATCTATTTTCTAATTCTCTGGCGGCTCAAGGGTAGGATTTGTTTTGAGTAGAAGACGGACAGAGTTGTTTATTAAAGCATATCCATTTCAGCATTTTGCATCTGTTCAGATAATCTACCATATTCATTAATCTCTGTTGATGAGTGTTTCGCACAAAAGAAAAATCCTCCCATCTGCCAAGAGAGGGAAATTAAGAATATAATTGGTCATGTTACCTCTTATTCCTAATAAAGAATGTTTTTTTTACATTCATTACTGCTTTAGATCTCTTAGGAAATCATTGCTGTGTGCAAATTGTCTGCCGTGTTTGCTTATCACTGCATTTACAGTATATGCTGTGAGGCGCTTTAAGACATCTTTCCAATGTGAAAAATGCTTTCTCAAATGCAAGGATTATTTTACTATTATTATTTATTATTGTTGCTGTAGAAGTATGGTAAACAGGGTTCTTGGGTTGCAGAATGGGGTGAGGTTGAGCACAATTTGCTAATGTCATATATAGACTCAGAAGATTTGCATTTGGATGCTGTAGAGGTGAGGAAAGAGGTTCACTTCATCAGCTTATTTTATCCAGGAGATATTAGCAAAACATTTTTTTTTAAACTGCCCCTTGGAAAAATTAAATGATAATCAAAGGCATTGGAAATGCAAAACTGGTCAGTTCAACTGATTAATTGTTATAGGAAATGTTAACAAATGTTATTCCATACAAAAATGGGTGAGTGTATTTCCTTACTCTTGCAGCAGTGTTAACCATTCAGTAAGCAAAAAGCAGTAGTATTATTACATGCAAAATAGGTTTTATAGAAAATAGGTTCAATTGTTTGAAAATAGGTTTGTTGGATTCTCTTTACTATCATTGATTGTAATGTTATTGTTTACTTTGTTGTTGTTTACTTTTAAAATTAAAGTCTCAGTAACAAGTTAATCACATGTATTTTAACAATAGTTCTTGAGTGCCTTGCTGAGTAAGCTCATCTCAGTTGGACAGTAGTGGGACTGCTACATTTGGCCTCCTTGTTCCTCACATTAGGAGGGGAAAAAATACATCTGATTGTTAACCGGTGATCCCAGCTGGGAAATGGGGAATTTGTTTGAGGTCATGATTGGGCTATGGAACTGTATCTTAACATAGGTCAGCTCGTGACGGGGTGATGGGGAGGTGGGGGTGTGGAATTCCTTTAGTGCTTTACTTAGTTGTATTTTTCTTAGTTCATGAATTTCCTTAATTTATGGTTAAGGAAAAAATAGCATTTTTAACGATACAGTACTCACTCATCTCTCGCTGTAGAAAAGTGTCAGCTCTTGAAAACTCTTTGTGTATTTTTGAAAACTGGCTTCAAAAGTTAAGACTGAATTCAACAATTTGTCAAATTCTGCGCAGTCTGAGATACTAAGTAAATCAAATCACAAATGGAATTTGTCGGTTTATATCTTTATTCTTCAGGTGTTTATCTAATTTGATATCAGGTATCCAAAAATATCAAAATCAGTGTACTCCGTGTAAAACATAAAATGGCTTCAGTTGTAAAGAACGTTTGCTTTTATTTGTGCTTAAAAATAAATCAATGCAACTTACCAGTTACTGCTATAACTTATAATATTCATGCATTACAGAATACACAGTTCTTAAAAAATAAATACAAAACTACATAATAAAACTTTGTGTTCTTTTGTTAAATGTTTTAAAACATTCTGAAGTTTGGTTTAAACCACATTATGGGGCAGGGAACAGAGAGCTTTAATGAATACAGCTTACCTGTTTTCTAACCTGAAAATACTTTATGCTGATGCTTGGTGATGCCAAAAGTGTAACGTTGTTCCAGACCCTAGCTTTGAGGACAAAAATTAACCCTGCCAAAAAACATTTAAATTATTTAATGCCACGCTGCATTAACTTGTTTGATCTTAAACTACATTTTAACATAATATATTCTAACAATAATCTGACTATGAACATTATGGCTCTCACTCTTACCAACATAAAATACCTTATATTTTGTACAAGTTGGTCAAGAACTATCAGTGTAGAATATTTATTTTGTTCAGTAAACTGTTGCTAATGTTATCTGCTACTACAGTTTAGAAAGATGTTCTGTGAAATCATGCCCATATTGTGAGAGAAAGAAAACCTAACACCATTGAGGTCCATCAAACTCCGATCTCTAATATTAGGGATCTTTTCATTATATGTTCTGATGGGATTTATCACAATAAAAATGACTTATTGGATTTTAAAAAAGTTCCTCCTGAAAACGATAATGCTTCTGGTAGCTGATTTTCGGAAAAGTCACCTCACCACATACAAAGCGGAGATGCCCTGTAAATTACTTATGCCATCTCAGCTCCAAGTCGGAACTGAGGTCTTGTGAGTCAGCGTAACTCACAAGAAATTCCCCATAGAAAAGACTTGGTAGCAAGGCATGAGACTTGGTGGCAAGGCAGGAATGAGAAGTCATTATTTATTTTGAGAAGCATCAGCCCATTGAAACAATAATCTTATCATCGGAGTAGAATATTTGTTGTTTAAGTACCTAGTTATTTGTTCCTTTTCTCACCAGACCTTGGCTGTGAGGCAATCAACGGTCAGAAATAAAGTCTCTTGAGTCATCATGACCACACTGCAGATAAAGCAGTTTAAAGCACTTTTTCCGATGGCATTGTCCTTACATTGCACATTTCCCAGCTAAGAGAATAGATGGGAGACATCTGGAACTTTGCCAATGGTACTCTCCAGCTGCTGCTAGAAAGTGTTCAGTAATTGACCCATTTAAGTTTCACTCCAGTTTTTCTTTCCTCTTAAGTTTGTCCTTGGCTCCAAACCTTACTTTCACAGTATGGTTAACAATGAGAAATTGTGAGAAATGTGTTGGTGTCTCCAATAGGCAACGCTAGGTCTAATACATGTAGTTATTCTTTAAATCGCAGTAACGTAAAATATAAATACATGTCATTAAAATTTCCTGCTTACAGCTTGTACCTCAGTCAAGAAATTTTAATTCGCCTCTAACTTTTTTTTCCAGAAACCAGCTAACATCTTGGTAATGGGGGAAGGGACAGAACGAGGACGGGTGAAAATAGGTAAATATTGCTATTTCAAACATATCGCAACTAAAACCTTTTATTTATCTGAGGCCTGAAATTCCACCTAATCTTAGCCTGTAAAACCATTTGTCTCTAGGTGCACAAATTGTGGAAAATTCTCAAATCCAGTATTCATTTGGAAGCTATTTTCCACAGTTCTTGAAAGAAACCAAATTAAGACTGAACTTCAGAATTTTCCAGTTCTGATTGCTGCTCTTCACATTTAGTGTTGACCACTGTAGCAATGCAGAGGTGGGGAAGAGTGAATTGTAATTAGTCTCAACATCATTGGACTAAAGAGGATCAAATTCAACCAGGGTCTTTATTCCTTATTAATAATAATCCTTGCATTTGATATAGCGCTTTTCACGTCTTCTAGACGTCTCAAACCGCTTCACAGAATATACTGTAAAGTAAATTGACTGTATATTTGTGGGCGAACGCGGCAGCCAATTGCACACAGCAATGTCCCACAAACAGTCGTAGATTGAAAATGACCAATTTATTATTGTTTTGTTTTTTGGGATTATTATTAGGTGTGTGGAGTAAGGAAACTTGCCCAAGGTTTCGTCCTGCCTGGAATTGAACTCAGGTCTCTCGCTTCCAAAGCGAGTGCTCTAACCACTGAGCTACAGGACTCCACGTTGTTACAAACTAATATTGTTAGTCAGTGCCCTCTATTATAAAGTGTGGACATTGGGTGAAGACCCCATTAAACTCTGTTACGATGCCCAGAATCAAATTAACCAGTCGATGGCCTAAAGTACGGCTATTTGGATGAGAAACCAGAGACTTGATGATGCCTGAGAGGCTTTACCAAGGGGAAAACAAGCTTTGCCATAATGGGATTCAAACTCCTTTATGGAATTTTTACATTTAAAATAAATTAAAAGTCTTCATGCTTTTTTTTATTACTACTTAAGCTAAAAATTCTGTTTCACTGGTGGGGTTGGCATTAGGAATACTTTGCCATTTTAAAAGATCTAACGGGACTTATGTTACTGGTAGGTTTTCAAATCGCCTGTGGATGTACTCATCCATATGAAGGATAATTTCATTTGAAAGATGGTGAAGGAGCAAGCTAGATAATTTTTTTGCTAATACACACTAATACTGTGCAAACTATTTGTCTATATCAAATACAAATATGTTTGATATTATTTGTTTGATGATGATTAAATAATGCAGCCAGTAATGTGTGGTAATACAAAATGTATTGTTGAATTCCAGCTGACATGGGTTTTGCCAGACTCTTTAACTCTCCACTGAAACCTTTGGCTGATTTGGATCCAGTGGTGGTAACATTTTGGTATCGTGCACCAGAGTTACTGCTGGGAGCCAGACACTACACAAAAGCAATTGGTAAGTATCACTTTGGTTAACGTGGCATTTGGTCCCTTTTTCCAGAAAATGTTAAATGTTGACTGACCAAAAGAATTCCCTACAATTTAGGCTCCATTATCTCAATTAATAAGAGAATATTTTTTGACCACTAACAATCTGTGCAAAAACATCTCTTTATCATTGTGAATTAGTAATTTTGCACATTTACTGGAGAATTTATACAATTAATTTGCAAGTAATGTTTCAAGGTTATTGCAGCCAGATTATCCAAAACAAAATACTTACGAAAGGGAATGCCTATGAATGTTGCTAAGATAATACACTGAGTTACAGATTTATAATAATCCTTGCATTTGATATGGACCCTTATCACTTTGTCAAGACTTCTCAAAGTGCTTCACAGGATATAAAGAGGTGTAGCCAAATATTTTTGTGGCGAATGAGTAGCCAATTTGCACAGGATTTTTTCCTAAAATTTCTGCTAGGATAATGATGGACATGTGGAATATTTGTACTGTTTGAAGCATAATTATAGATTTTGTCCTTCCAGACCTGTGTGTGGGGGTTGAGAGATGATTTTGAGCTATTTGATAGTAAATGTTGTTGATCTAAATGCAAGTCTGACACTGGTAGCATACCAGGTTGCTGAAACCTTCACCCACGCATTCGTTACATCAAGGCTCAATTACGGGAACTCCCTCCTCATCGGCCTTCCCAACTTTTCCCTTCACAAGCTGCAGAACATCCAAAACTCTGCAGCTCATGTACTCTCACACACCAGGCTCTGCAACCCCATCACTCCCACCCTCGCCCGAATCCACTGGCTCCCCATCCCCCAGAGGATCGAATTCAAGATCCTTGTCCTCGCTTTCAGCCTTGCCCCCTCCTACCTCTCTGACCTACTGACTCCCTACCAACTTGCCCGCTCCCTCTGTTCATCAGGCTCCGGGCTGCTCCACCCCGCCCTACCATCGGTGGCCGTGCTTTCAGCCTCTCTACCCCCACACTCTGGAACTCATCCCAAGGTGCCTTCTCCTCACTTCTTCCCTTGCCTCCTTCAAGGTCGGTCTGTTTTCTTCGATCGTGCCTTTGGTCGCCCTCCCACCTCTTTGCCTTCCCTCACCCCTTCACCAACCCTCCCCCAGGCTTGGGCCTCGACACCTGACTATTGAGCGCTTTGGGACGCCCTTCCGATGTGAAAGGCGCTCTATAAATGTAATTTTGTTGTTGTTGTGGTATTGCTGAGAGCAATTTGAAGTGATGAATTCAAGAATATCATGCAAGAAGCATATTGGAAAACAATTAGATTCTATTCGCTTAAGTGTTATTTTTCTCTATTGCATATTGGAATGGTAAATGAGCCTAATGGCAACACTGAAAAATGGAAAGTTTGACCATACAAAAACTTGCATTTATATAGTGACCTTGACGAGGGATAGCGTCTTGGTGCACTTAAGCATACTGTATATATGGGTGATACATGCTTAAGATTTAATGTGTATGAGTTCATAGGAGCAATTTAGGCACTTGAATGTAATTTAAACATAATCTAGATTTGTGACATTATAGTCTGTGTTTGTGCTGGTGGGGTCCCAAAATGTATTTCTAGTTCAGTTAGTTTGAATTACATTTAATGCCTTAACTTCATATTTTGTCAATTCTGGTTTAAAAAAGATGAAATCAAAGAAGACGTCAGAGGTGAGCTAAATCCTCTCCTAATACTTGCCCTATAGCTACTGGATATGAGCTGGCAGGGTGAACTCGCTACCATTTTTCCTTGGCATGGCGCTTTCACTTGGCATGATCATTGAAGTAATCAGGGATCACTGAATGGTAATCAGAAGCAAAAGTCCTGGCGGATTTATTTTTTCCCACACTACTTAAAAACCACTGAGGTCAATTGTAGTGCTCCCTCACCTTCCAGCTGAAATCAGCTAACTCAGCATGGAAAAGGAATTAAATCTGGGACCTTGTTGCTCTCCTATGTGGCTCAGTACCAGACTGTCTTGTGCATTTCTCTACTGAACAATTTGAGGAACCTTAGGCAAAAGTTTGAATCTAATTCTCAACTGATTTATAATTGAGTTACCCCAGGGAGTTGGATTGCTTGGCATTAGATACCACTCAGTCTTTTGTTTTTCAGCGATTTCTACTTTGCGTTCTTAACACTTAAGAGATCCATATATTCCTGATATGACAAAACTCGGACATTCACGGCGTTAACTAGAAGAGTAAAGTAGAGACAAAAATTGTGTTTTGGATTGTATATAAAACCATTTTTGTTATCTCTTTTTAATTAAATCAAGCATTTAATCAAGACAATACATACATAGTAACCCTGTTATAGCGGTGTTCAGCTAGGTCATACGTGGAATCCTGTACCGTATTGGTTAGAGCACTAGTCTCACAAACCGAGGACCTGGATTCGATTCCTGGGCAGGGCGAAACCTTAGGCAAGTTTCCTTACTCCACATGCCTCTATTTACCTGGCTGTGAGTAGGAACCCAGTTGTTAGTCGATTGAGGGGTAATCATAATCAAAAATAAGCAATAATAATAATTTGGTCACTCAGTCCACGACTGTTTTGTGAGACACTGGTGTGAGCAATTGGCTGCTGTGTTTCACCCATAAAAAATATACAGTCAACCCACTTTACAATATATTTGTGAAGCGCTTTGAGACATCTCATCGACGTGATGAGGCGCTATATCAATTAATTGTAAAGATTATTATTATATCTCAACGGCCGCTTTCTTAGCAAAACATTATAAAAGAGCCAACTATGACTTTATCTCTCTGTCTCTCTTTCTCTCTGTGTTCCTCTGACTCTCCCTGTCTCTAACCCTATTCAAAAATGAAGCCCACCACCTGCTCCCTTGACCCCACTACCACCCCGCTTCTCACTTCCCAGTTCCGCCTCCTAGCCCCTCTTTTAACCAACATTATCAACCTCTCCTTATCCACTGGCACTATTCCCACCCCCCTACAAACAGCTGTCATCACTCCCATCCTCTCCTCAAAAATCCTTCCCTGGACCCATCCCTACTCTCCCCATCTATCACCCCAACTCCAACTTCCCATTCCTCTCCAAGGCCCCAGAGCGAGTCATCGCGTCCCAGCTTCGCTCTTTCCTCTCCCGCCATTCCCTCTCTGAACCCTTCCAATCAGGTTACCCACAGCACGGAAACAGCCCTGGTCAAAGTCACTAACAACATTCTGAACATCTGAGAGCAGGGCTCTCTCTGCCTCCTTGTCCTCCTCGACTTCTCTGCTGCTTTCGACCATTCTATCTTCCTACACCGAGGCTCAGTCTTCGCGGACCTGCCCTTGCCTGGTTCGATTCCTACTTCTCCCACCGTCTCCACTTCATCTCCACAAACGGTTTCTCCTCCAGCCCCCGCACCTTCACATGTGGCGTTCCTCAGGGCTGTCCTTGGCCCTCTCTTTTTCAATATCTAAATGCTCCTGCTTGGCGACATCATCCACAGACATAGGGTCAACTTCCACATGTATGCGGATAACACCCAACTCTACCTCTCTACCTACATCCTCGATTCAGGAACACTGCTGTCCTCACAGACTGCCTATCAGACATCAAGTCCTGGATGAGAGCTAATTTCCTACAGTTGAATGTCAACAAGACCGAGGCTCTCCTGCTTGGCTCCCGTCAGTGTCTCCATACCTCGGGCGCTGACAGCATCTTCCTCCATGTATGCACTCTACATCTCATGGAGTCAATACGGACCTCGGCCGCCTGTTCGACCCTCAATTGTCATTCATACACCACATCTGACCTGCTCCACTTTTCTCCACCTCTGCAACATCTCAGCTCCGTCACTGTCTCACACCTCAGGCCACTGAGACTCTCATCCACACATTCATTACATCCAGGCTTGACTATGCAAACTCCCTGCTTGTCGGCCTGCCCAATTCCTCCATCCATAGGTTGGAGATCATCCAGAACTCTGCAGCTGTATCCTCTCTCGCACCAGGCTCCGCAACCCTATCACCCCCATCCTCGCCCGACTCCACTGGCTTCCCATCATACCAAGGATACAGTTCAAGATCCTGGTCCTCACTTTCAACACCCTCCATGGCCTTGCTCCCCCCACATCTGCGACCTCCTAACCCCTTACCAATCTGCTTGCTCCCTCCGCTCAGCGGGTTCCAGCCTGCTTCCCTTCCCCCACCATTGGCGGGCGGGCCTTCAGCCACTCTACCCCACTCTCTGGAACTCCATCCTGCAGTCCCTCCACCTCGCCCCCTTCAAGATCCGTCTCAAGACCCTCCTCTTCGACCGTGCCGTCGGTCACCCTCCTTTCCCAACCTGCCCTCCACCCTCCCCGATCCTGACCCCCAGCTCAGGTCCGTAACACTGATTGTCTAGCGCCTTGGGACATCCTCCTGACGTGAAAGGCACTATACAAATGTAATTTTGTTGTTGCTGTTATACACTTTAGATTGTTAAATAAATGACTTTTCGACTGCCTGCCCATATTCATGTTGCGTGGGTTAAATTCCAGTCCATGTAACCTTGAAGGCAAATAGCTTTGCATTCGTGGAACTGGAATTTTTTTTTTGCCCGTTTTGCAGCTCTGTATTCAATTCTGCATTGGAGCCTGATGCGGATTAGTGAACACTGTGCAAATCTTAACTGTGATCGAACACACTGTGTTTTACTGTTTACTTAAAGTTAATCTAGTGGAACTAACAGAGTAGTGGTAAATAAATGCCTACATACCAGAGTTAATCTGTCTCTTTTATTTTATTGTTTTTGGTTTTAGATATCTGGGCAATTGGGTGCATTTTTGCAGAACTTTTAACTTCAGAACCCATCTTCCATTGTCGCCAGGAAGACATCAAAACAAGTAATCCCTTCCACCATGACCAGTTGGATCGTATTTTTAGTGTTATGGGATTTCCAGCAGGTGAGTTTGTCTAGTGCAGAATTTAATTAACAAGTTAATTAGGGGAAACCATTTGGTGTGGTTTCTAAAGAAGAAACTGTTCCAGTACCAAACTACAGTGAGCCTTATTCTTGAACTGATAATGTAATGGTGTTTTGTGATCTCCACCACCATTATCCTGATTTAAGTAATATCTGCTTTATGCCCTTAGTTATTTATTCTTGGTCTGGTTTCTTCTTTGGTATTTGTTGGCAGCTCAAATGTGCAATTTAATCTAGGCACTATTCCATCTATCTTGTAAGTGTGGAAAGGGTTATGATAAGAAGAATGCCCAGACTCTTCAGCAGTCTCTGGTGGTTAGGTTCTATTCATCAAGCCCAGCACTAAGCTGCCTCTACTGAATGCCAACTTAATTTTGTTAACGATGATTTATGAATGGTGATAAATTGAGTTGCCTTTGTCGAAGTAACAAACTGATCTGGCAGGGAACCTCTGAGATAAGTTCAATAGGTGAGCTGGTGGTCAGTGATTATGGTTTCAGAAACCTGCGTGTCCTTACACTTGTGTGAAGTAAAGGCATTTCCTAGTTACTTCTGGACAGACTAAAACTGAATGTGATTGATCTATCTTATTCACCTTAGAGAAATTTTCTAAATGTATGTGATTTGAAATGTAAAGGAAAGAGTCTGAGTCAAGAACCAGATAGAATTTCTAGTCCCTTGTCCTCGTTCTTGACCCCAAAGGTCATGCAAGAAGACAAGGGGTAAGAAATTGACAGTGTTGCACAACTCAAACTTGTACATTAGCATTTATTTAATAACATGGCTATTTGAAAAAGTATTCCAAAATGAATCATGTAATAGGACACAAGTTCCGCTGACTTGTGGGAACTCTGTTGTGGAAGTAGATTGCATCAGATTGAGTTCCAGCAAGTTGATGTAATGAAATTACAGATTCCTTTGTTAAGAAATTTGTTTTGTAATTACTTTGCATTCAACTTCTCTATTCATACTGTATGCCATATACTACACCTAGATGTGATTTTAGTCCATATACGTTCTGTTTTTTGAAAGATAAAGACTGGGAAGATATCCGGAAAATGCCTGAATACCCAACTCTGCAGAAAGATTTCAGAAGAACGACGTAAGATCTGAACGGCTTTAATTGTATCTGTGTTTTGTTAATTCTTTACTCTAGTGGAGTCCTGTAGCTCAGTGGTTAGAGCATTCGCTTTGCAAGCGAGAGACCTGAGTTCAATTCCAGGCAGGGCGAAACCTTGGGCAAGTTTCCTTACTCCACACAGAGCCTAATAATAATCCCTCCAAAAACCAAAAAACAATAATAAAAAAAATTGGTCATTTTCAATCTACGACTGTTTGTGGGACATTGCTGTGCACAATTGGCTGCCGCGTTCGCCCACAAATATACAGTCAATTCACTTTACAGTGTGTTCTGTGAAGCGCTTTGGGACGTCCTCCCGACGTGAAAAGCGCTATATCAAATGCAAGGATTATTATTATTATTATTATTTGAATTTAAGAATAAGGCTTTTGCAACAACATGAACAATTATTCTTAGAGTGAGAGCTGGTTTTCTACCCTCCCCACTCCCATTCTGTGCAAATGAAGGGCAGGATTCCTTTGTCGTCTCTTACAATGCAATATAATTTACATTATAATTATAATAATAATTCTTGCATTTGATCTAGCGCCTTATCGCTTCAGTGAGATGTTTCAAAGCCCTTCACATAATATACCGTAAAATGAATTGACTGTGTGTTTTGTGGGAGAAACACGGCAGACAATTGTGCATAGCAGTGACCATCAAACAGTTGTGGATTGAGTGACCACATTTTTTGTTTTGAAGGGATTATTACCTCCGGAAAGCAATCCACAAATCACCTAACCCTACTTACTGCTCGATAAATAGAGGCAAATCTTGAAAATGGATAGCATAAAGAACTAGAAAACATCTTGCCAGTCGACATTACATTATATAGTGTCTTTCATATAAGGAGGATGTCCCAAAGCACCCAACCAAAGCTATGGGTAGGGAGGGGAATGATAACCCAAAACATGGACAAAGTGGTACACCTTGAGACAGATCTCAAACGAACGGAGGGAGGAAGGGAGCGAGTCTGAGAGGCTGCAGAATAGAGTTCCAGAGAGCGGGGACATTGGTGACTAGCAAAGGATCCCATAATTGCATTAACACAATGCAACACCCAAGGTTGTATTTCCTATTTTCCTATTTCCTATTTTAAGCAATGAAATGCTAACTGATCTTTGGAGATGCTCTGTACGTTATGAAGTGTATAGATCATATAGGTCTAGTTTTTGTAAACAGAATTTCTGTCTCAAATCTATCATCTGAGCAAAGAACAGGCCACTTTTAAAGAACTCTACTTTCATGAAATACTAGGAAAATGATTCAAATCTATATTTTCTAAACCTTTGCCATCCTATGGAATGAATTTGCTGATATTTTAAATAAATTATCTTCCATCCTCACAGCCAGTTTCTACTCCACTCGGTGTATGTTATTAGAAACAATAATGCCACCTGAGAGATATAGAAAACAGATCTTCTCTCCGCATGAAGATACAGGATTATTTTTCTTTCACACACACACACACACAAAGGAATTAGACCTATGGTTCTCTTTATTAGTAAACTATGTTTGTTGTGTTTTATACAATTGCAGTAAGTGTTTGAAACCTAACTTGTTCATTTTCTTTTTGTGTTCAGGTATGCAAATAGCAGCCTCATAAAATACATGGAGAAACATAAAGTCAAGCCTGACAGTAAAGTCTTCCTGCTGGTGAGTGATATATTCAGGCTATTTTAGAACAAAAATGTTCGGAAGGATATTTGTTCTCCAGTGTTTCCAGCCTGTATGCAACTAATTCTTATATATATATATATATATGAGGACCAGTTTGAGGGTGTTGAAAGGGGGGTAGTTGCCAAGTAAATTGACTCTAATTTGCAGAATAGTAGATTTTGTATAACTTCAAAGGTGTAATCTTTGGGTAGCTACAACTTTGAGAAAGACAGTATTTCACTACTCACTCTGGGATGTCCAAAATGATTTTTTTTCAGATGTCAAATTTATCTGGAAATACAATTTTCTGTAGATTGAAATTAGAATTGCTGACACATATGGAACCAAAGAACAACAGAGCTACATAGTGTATTTTTTTAAAGTATATTATCCTTTCAGTTCCAGACCTTGGTTTGATCAACAAGATGAAAAGTCCCCTCTCTTTACTACAACAATAACTACTTGCATTTATATAACACTCTTCACATAACTTAATGTCACTGAGCACTTCACAATGGCACCAATGGAGTAGGGAGGGAGACATGCAACAGAGGGATCTAGGAGAAAAGATTCACTGGCCACTGAAGGCAGTGACCCAGGTGGATAAGGCTATTAAAAAAGCCAATGGGACCTTAGGGAGTTATAGCTAGGGGAATAGAGTATTAGGATAAAGAGGCCATGTTGAATTAGTACAAAACAGTTGGAATATTTGTGCAGTTTTGGGCTCCTCATAGGAAGGCTGTTAAGGCACTGGAGAGGATACAGAGAAGACTCACCGGGATATTGCCTGGAATGCAACATGCAGGGAAGGGCTTAATAAACTGGAGCTTTTTTTTTGGAGCTCAGAAGGCTGAGAGGGGATGTATAGCAGTGTATAAGATGATGGGTGTCTTAGATAGCATGGATTAGGATAGATTATTTCCAGTGGTCAGGGAGTCTGGAACTAGAGAGCATAATTTTAAAACCAGATTTGGAATTAGGAAAACCTTTTTCACACCTAGAGTGTTAGGAATGTGGAGTTCTCTGCCACAGTCAGTTGTTGGGGCGGCAACTATGTGCACTTGATCTAGGGTAGGCACGAGTGTGGAGTATAAACATTGGGTGGACTGGATGGCCCAAATGGCCTGTTTATGAGCTGTACCTTCTAGTACCGGTGGAGTAGCTTCTCAGAGCACTTAATAGTTGCGGAGCCTGATGCCTAGCCGTGGGAAGGGGGAGGTGAACGTAAGCACGGTCGAAGAGGAATGTCTTCAGACGTGATCTGAAAATGGGGAATGAGGGGGCAAGGTGGATGGATTGAGAGAGTATTAATAATAGTAATAATAATAGTGGTAATAGCAATATAATAATAATTAATCCTTGTATTGGATACAGCACCTTTCACATCATTATCATGGCTCAAAGTGCTTTACATTTACAGTAAAATGTAATGATGGTGCGTTTTGTAGACAAATTAACCACAAGTGCATGGAGCTTCTTAATTATGATTTTTTCCTGTTTCAGCTCCAAAAACTCCTGACTATGGATCCAACCAAAAGAATCACCTCTGAGCAAGCCCTACAGGACCCCTACTTCCTGGAAGAACCTTTGCCTACGACAGAGTAGGTATATTTTTTGCTTTTATATAAACAATGAAAACTTGTTTTTTCTTCATGCCCTGATCTTGAAAGGATGACTTAGAAACTCCAACTTCACATTATAGGACTCGAGTTACAAATAATGCTAAGCTGAATTTTCATTTTAGTGATTACAAATAATTCTACAGTTTTGATGCCTTGTGGTGATGAGGTGGGTTACAACATCAAAACTCTGGGTCAGAAGTTTGTGGGTTAAAATTTCATATCGGGTTTTGAGTTCATTGTTTAGGCTGTTGCTTCAATGCACTTCTTGGAGGAAGTGCTGCTTTTTCGGTGGTGCCATACTACAAGGTCCTGTCTGCCTATTCAGATCAATTATAGAGATCCTATGACACTATTTAAAAAGAGAAGGGCATTTGCTGTACATCTAACACTAATTTTCCTAGTTTTTTTNGTATCTGTGCTGAAAATTCATGCTAATCTAAATTAAGTTTTTCTTGGCTTCAATCTTTCTAAACCTATTATTCTGATACCAAGCATCATATCTGAAGCATTGATTGCTTGATTGACTTGTTTATGACTTTCATGGCTTCTGCCCAGATTTGTTTCCACTGTAAGTATTAGCCAATGGAGACTTACTCACTGAGTGTAGACTCCAAATATGCTGGAATTTTGCTTTAAGGCAGGTTACCATCAAGCCTGAACTTGTGATGATACCGCTTTTTGTAACTTTCAGCTAATGGTTCTAATTAGATTATGATTGGAAAAAGTTTAATTGCTCAAACAACTTATTAAGCCTTATTAAACTTCAAATCCTTATCCAGTACTTCCAGTTTTTTTCCAGATCTTCTGAAATAACACCCTTTAAAATAAAAAAAGTGATAGAAATACAATTGAGCCTTTAAAACTGTATTGATTTTTTAAAAAAGTGTCCCTTTACAAATTCACGTTGATTATCTTACTGAAGAGAAAAGGAATAGAAAGTTGACAGATTTATTTTTCCCCCTCTCTTTTGAATATTTTTCAGAAACTGTTTAAGTCTAAACCCTCTCTGTCCCAGGCACCATTCCCCGATTGGGTGAATTTTTCCAGGCTGCCCATGTGCTTCAGTGATAGGTGGTGAGGTTAGTCTGTGGTGAATTGCTTGACAATATTCTTTCCCTCTCTGGATGTCTTTTCTCAGAGTCTTTGAGTTAAGATAATAAATCTTTGCTGTAGGAAGGGGAAGGAGGATGTGGACAGATTTTGGGTGAAAAGCATTCTTTGCAGTGATTAGAACATAAGAAACCAGGAGATTCTGACAAAACTTTTAATCCCATTGCCCTGCCCTTTTGCTATATCTTTCAGTATATTGATCCAAGAATTTCTCTTTTAACTGGACGGAGTATTCTACATCTTCACAATCCTCTGTCAGAAGAAATGCTTTCTGCCCTCAGTTCTAATTATCTTAGTTCTGATTTCAAGGTTATGCCCTTTGTAATGGATCCTTCTACTAAAAAATGTTGTACATTAACTATTCAATTTCTTTCATATTTAAAATACCTCAATCAAATCAGACCTCATACTTCACAGAGTCCTGTAGCTCAGTGGTTAGAGCACTCGCTTTGCAAGTGAGAGACCTGAGTTCAATTCCAGGCAGGTCAGGGCGAAACCTTGGGCAAGTTTCCTTACTCCACACGCCTAATAATAATCCCTCAAAAAAAAACAATAATAAATTGGTCATTTTCAATCCACGACTGTTTGTGAGACACTGCTATGCGCAATTGGCTGCCGCGGTCGCCCACAAATATATAGACAATTCACTTTATAGTATATTCTATGAAGCGCTTTGGGACGTCTAGAAGGCGCTATATCAAATGCAAGGATTATTATTATTATAAACTCCCTCTGTCATAATTCTGCCAATTATCTTAAGCTGTGCATATCTCTTTGCATTTTTCTTCTTTCCTCTTCACAAACTATAACATCTCCTAGTTCAGTGTCATCCACAAATCTGGAAATGGTTCCCTCTATTCCTGTACCATGGTCACTGATGAATCAAAGCTAGGACCCTGGCACTGATACCTGGGCGCTGCAACTTGGCACTGTTTGCCAAGTAGAGAGTGTTCCTTTTATACCAACTCACCTTCTATCTCCCAGCCAGTTTTCTATCCATAAATAATACAAATCCTTGCATTTAGTATAAGTTTCATATCATGAGAACATCGCAAATCACTTCACAAGATATTAGTGTAAAGGGCAGTAACAATGTGTTTTGTGGGCAAACAACATAATAATAATAATACTTGCATTTTATCATGTCTTCAAGATGTCTCAAAGCACTTCACAGAATATACTGTGAAGTGAATTGACATTATATTTTGTGAGTGAAACCCGGCAGCGAATTGTACACAGCAGTGTCCCACAACCAGACCTGTGACCAAATTATTATTTTTTTTAAAAAGGGTTTATTACCCCCAGAAAAGCAATCCACTAATCGACTAACAACCAGGTTCCTGTTTACTGCTAAGGTAAACAGAGGCGGGGTGGAGTAAGGAAACTTGCTTAACGTTTCACCCTGCCAAGGAATCAAACCCAGGGCCTCTTGCTTGCGAGGCGAGTGCTCTAACCACTAATAATAATAATAATAATAATAATAATCCTTGCATTTGATATAGCGCTTTTCACGTCAGGAGGACGTCCCAAAGCGCTTCACAGAACACACTGTAAAGTGAATTGACTGTATATATGTGGGCGAACGCGGCAGCCAATTGCGCACAGCAATGTCCCACAAACAGTCATAGATTGAAAATGACCAGACTCCACATTACACAATGCTGCCTACAACTCCATGTACCTTTATTTTAGCTAATAATCTTTTACGTGGCATTTTTTCAAATGTTTTCTGGAAATCCATTGACCTTTATTTATTAACAATATGATTCTTTTGAAGAAATATTAGTTTGTGAGATACCCTTGTGTTTCCCTGATCTGTGCATATTTATCTAGATGTTCATCTTTTCTGTTGCTGATTATATATTCTAGTAATTTGCCACCACTGATATTAAACCCTCATACACTCATTCATAACATCGAGGCTTGACTGTGCAAACTCCTTGCTTGTCAGCCTCCCCACCTTCTCCCTCCATAGGCTGCAGATCATCCAGAACTCTGCAGCCCGGGTCCTCTCCCGCACCAGGCTCTGTGAACCTATCACCCCCATCCTCACCCGACTCCACTGGCTTCCCATCACATGGAGGATACAGTTCAAGATCCTGGTCCTCACCTTCAAAGCCCTCCATGACCTTGCACCCTCCTACCTCTGCAATCTCCTAACCCCCTACCATCCTGCCTGCTCCCTCCGCTCAGCGTGCTCCAGCCTGCTTCAAGTCCCCCATCTTGCCCACCCCACCATTGGCAGGCAGGCTTTTTGCCGTTCAGCCCCTACCCTCTGCAACTCCATCCCGCAGTCCCTCCACCTCTCCCCCCTCTCTTGTCTCCTTCAAGACCCATCTCAAGACCCTTCTCTTCGACGGTGCTTTCGATCACCCTGCTTCCCCCCTGCCCTCCACCCTCCCTAATCCTGACTCCCAGCTCGGGTCAGAAACACTGACTGTCTAGCACCTTGGGACGTCCTCCCGACATGAAAGGCGCTATACAAATATAATTTTGTTGTTGTTAAACTCACAGTCTTATAATTGCTAAATGTAGTGTAACCTCAATTATTTAGTATAATTGGGAAAACATATAATCCACCCAACTCTCTATTCACTGGCTTGCCAAGCCTTCCTGTTCACCTCCCATTCAGTTCATCCTTCATCCAACACCCAAAGAAACTTTTCTATCCAAACCAAATTTGTGATCTTGCTACTGTGAAGATTGAATCTTGTATTTCATCATCATTAATTTGTTGAAATTGAAATGAGGTTTCATGTGAGGTTACAGTATATTCTGTGAAGCGCTTTGAGATGTCTAGAAGACGTGAAAAGCACTGTATCAAATACAAGGATTATTATTATGTGTTATAACTTTAATAGCACAAAGTAAAGTTTTATAACTAGCTCACACCATGGTCAACCAATTTGCTTATACATAGTTCATATTAATGTGTAACACCAACACAAATATATTGAATCCAATAGCTCCTTATTCTATGGTTCTATAAAAGTGAAACATACCAATTATATACAGAGTGAAAATACAGTTCACTTTGCAAAGTGCATTTTCTGGAAGCCAGTCAGGGAACCGTTTTGCCTTCTTGAATTATTGACTCTTAGGAAAATGACGTGATGAGTCTCTAAAATCTCCACATGATTAGGGTGTTTATATGTGATGATATGAGGATAAAAGGATTATCGGTTCAGGTCAAGGATCTTAAAATATTACGTCAATATAAGGAGGTTCAGCACTGACCTTGGAAGATCTGTTTAATGCCTGCAGTCCTTCTAAACCTAGAACATGACTCTACACAAATAGAGTGATGTTTGGGTACTTTGTACAATATACTGTGTGCTGTAAACACCGGTGTTTTCCACAGATTCTGTCCTTTGTCCTCGTTCTTTTTTGTTGACTTTAAGAGTGATGATTTGCAAAACAGAAACTTGAAAAAAACTATGTAATGGAATGAATCACATGTGGTTTTTCAGAAACTAAAAAAGGTTCAACTATTAGCTGATCAAATCTGACTCACATTGCATTGCAAGTAATGCAAAAGTCAAACAATAAACCTCTAAGGCAATGGTGGCCAATCTTTATGGGTGGCCTACTAAGTAAATGTTCTTGATTGAATATTTCTTGATATAAATTGATTTCTTAACATAAATCAAGAAATATACAATCAAGAAGAAACTGACAACACTACCAATCAAACATGGATTTACCTTGACTTGTGCGAATGTTTGGGGGGAGCCGCTTCTTGATGGCCACCATGGGCCACTTCCGGTCCCTTGGCCATAGGCTAGCCACCAATGCTCTTAAGCGAAATGAAAATAATAAGAGACTGTGCCAAGACTGGTTATTCATTTAAGAAAATATAATTATAGACTGGTCTTCTTTAATAATCTTTGGCATCACTTCACCTTGAAAGGGATTTTTAACACCTTATTTTGTTCTACTACCAGTAATTTGCCGAATATAAATCTGTACTTTCCTGCTGGCTTTAAGAGTCAGAGGTTTGCACAAGGGTATTTGAACAGATGTCTGCTGCTTTGCAGCTTGTTTGTGTCACAGCACAATAGAGAGAATAATGCTTCAATCCACTCTAATTTTAATTTCCATTCCTTCCTCTTAGACTGAGATGGTCATATCTGGTGCAGAGATGTCAACAGGAAAAATAAAGAAAATAACTTCTTAAATTTCTTAAGAAGGATCATGAATTAAATATTGTTTTAAGTAAAGCCTACTCCTCCTTTTAAATAATAGGAAGTAGAAGTGTTGGCCGTCAGTGTCAACTTGATAAAAATTAATCAAGGTAACAAAAATTATAAACAGAAGCACCTTATGTGCTTTTCAACCAATTTTCGTTTTGAGGAATTTGTTTATACAGTACACCATCTGACCTTCAGCTTGTGTTTTTCAAGGACATGAACCTTTTTTGCCAATTGACAAGACCCACTACCCTATTTATAGCGTTCACATATTTTGGCATGAAGGACGAGGAATGCTTTTAATGTGTGTCCGACCTGCGGGCAAGAAGATGGTGGCAATGCTCTTGCATATTTCGTGTGAACTGTGCTGCGCATCAGGAAGCTCCAAGAGCATACCTGGTAATGTCGGAATTGAGTTAGGAATTGAGTTAACCCTTTGGCAATCGGTAGTCCGGTTCCACAGCCAAGTGAGTCTGCAGTACTCTTAAGGCACTGCCACTGACAGACTAGCCAGCCTGATTCATCGGCAGGCCTTGGAGCAGCAGACCAGTCACTGGCATTCTTTCCACTCAGCTCCTGCAAGCCTGATCCAAGCTGGACAAGCAGCTGGAAGCTTGCCAGACAGTGCTCTCGATGGCAAGTTATGTGGTTTAGCTAGTTAAACTCTAGATGTACCCCAAAACACACCCTGGGTTTCCCAAGCTTTGGCCCTTGCCTAATACTCCAAATTGGGTAGACAAGGTATGTCTCTCCAGGGAGAGAGTGCGAATTCTATTCCATTCCAGACTCAGAAATTTCCATTTGTAATTGTCATGCACATGTGCATCTCTCAGTCTGGTTGGATACTCTTAAGCAAGGTAAAGGATTTCTGCTTATGGCAGACCCCCCGGAGACCAAAAGAATGCTTTTAATATTATATCTGCTTAAGTATTTTTATATATATGTGTCTATAGTGTTATGGTAAGGGGGTAATTGTTAGCGCATATTCTTTTGGTTTGTTTTTGCAAGTTAATTTCTCCAGTTTACTCTCCATGTTGCAAATGTGCTTGACCTATCCCATTGTCTCCACTTCATATCCACCAACGGCTTCTCTTCCTGCTCCCGTACCATCACGTGCAGCATTCCTCAGGGATCTACCCTCGGTCCTCCCCTCTTTAATATCTATATGCTCCTGCTCAGCGATGTCATCCACAGGCATGGGGTTAACTTCCAAATGTATCCGGATGACATCCAACTATATCACTCTTCCTCCAATCTCATTCCATTGCTAATCTGGCTGACTGCCATCAATTCCTGGATGAAAGCTAAATTTCTCCTGAGGCTTTCTTGCTTGGCTCCAGTCAGTACTTTCTTACCTCAGTCACTGACAGCATCAATCTACATGGATACACACTTCATCACACAAGCCAGTGTGGAATGTATGTGTCTTTTTTACTCTCAACTCTCCGTTAAACTCCACCTCCATGCCTTGACCTGTTCAGCTTCCCCGAACCTCTACAACATTGCCCACCTCCGCGAGTCCTCATGCTTTTATCATGTCCAGGGTTTTATCATGTCCAGGCTTGACCGCGCCAACTCTCTGCTCACCAGATTTCCCAACTCTTCCCTCCACAAGCCGCAGTCTTTCCAGAATTCTGCAGCTCACGTCCTCTCCCACAATAGGCTCTCCTAGCCTATCAGCCCCATTCTTGTCCAGAATCACTGGCTCCCCATCATCCACTGGATCAAATTCAAGATCCTCATCGTCACCTTTAAAGCTCTCCGTGGTCTTACTCCACCCTACCTCTGTGATGTTCTAAAAAGCCTGCTTCCTCAGCTCAACAGGCACTGGCTTGCTTCACGTCCCCCACCCTGTCTGCCCCACCATCGGCAATCAGGCATTCAGCCTCTCTACCCCCACTCTCTGGAATTCCATCCCGAACGGAGTCCCTTCACCTCACCCCTTCCCTTGTCTCCTTCAAAGACCATCTGAAGAACTTCCTCTTTGACAAGCTATGCGGTTTCAGCTGGTTAGACTCCAGCAGTACCCCAACGCACACTCTGGGGTCCCCGAGCATTGACTCTTGCCAACCTGCGCCTAGATAAGCAGGGTGCATTCCTCCAGGGGGAAAGTGTGCATTCCATTCCAACAATCTATCTCTGGGATTTCCATGTGTAGATTGGATGCATGAAAATCTCAGCTTGGTTTAGGTACTCTTAAGCATGGTGATGGGTTTCCGTAAGTGTCAGGCACCCAGCTGACCAAAAAAAATCCCTGCCTGACCCAGAGCTTAGTGAAGGCAATAACAGATTCCATTTTAAGTCTGGTTCTGGAGAATATCAAACACAGTAAATATATTCAGCACTTATTTATAATGGTCTTCATGTATTAGCATCACATAATTTATGTTTTTCTATTTGAATGCATTTTACCCTTCATTTGACATTTTTTTCTAGACGAATATTGCTTCATTGATTGCTGTTTTATACTATATTTCTGGCATTAAATAAATTTTTACATAAACTAAAATCTAGTATACCTGCTCAGCAACATCAACAACAAAATTACACTTGTAAAGTGCCTTTTACGTCAGGAGGACATCCCATTCGGGGACCAGGACCTTAGCATGGGGGGGCAGAGTTAGGGTGAGCGAGGGCCGAGAGGTAGGAGGGCAGCTGGAAGCATGGCCCAAAAGGAAGGTCTTGAGTCGTACCCTGAATGAGGCAAGGGAGGGAGCAAGATGAAGGGACAATGAGTTAGAGTTCCAGAGGTTGGGGCAGAGAGGCTGAAAGCCCGGCCGCTGATGGTAGGGCAGGTCGGGCGGGAGACATGGAGCAGGCCAGAGCCTGCTAAGCGGAGGGAATGGACAGGTTAAGATAGGAGGGAGCAAGTCCGTGGGGGTCTTGAAAGTGAGGACGAGGATTTAGAATTCTGTCCTCTGAGGGATGGGGAGCCAGTGGAGCCAAGCGAGGTGGGGGTGATAGGGTCACGGAGCCTGGTGCGAGACGACACGAGCTGCAGAGTTCTGGATGATCTGAAGCTTGTGGAGGGAAGAGTTGGGGAAGCCAACAAGGAGGCAGTTTCCGTACTCGAGCCTCAAGGTGACGAAGATAAACATAGCCATTGATTTACATTGAAACCAAGTTATTATAAACGGTTAATACCGGCATCTTGTTTTGGTTTCATTGAAAATATACTATAGTTAATAGAAGAGCTCAGCTAATTGTCTTTAAACAGTGATATCTGTAACAGTCTGGTGTATAGATCAGCTTATTTTTTAAAAATTGGGTATTTTATTTAACATGTGCTTTCCTCAGGTTTTCTCCAACTCATGTCTTTCTTGTTTCCATTTTGTTCTGAAAATAAATGTTGAAGGTTACAATCATTTGTATTGTAGCTATGTTTTCAGCTCTGACTTCCCTCCAGAATTTACATATCTAACTTTTAAAATTCTAGTGTGTTTGCAGGTTATCAGATACCATACCCTAAGCGAGAGTTTCTAAATGAAGATGAGCCAGACGAAAAAGGCGAAAAGGTAAATGAAAAGCACATAATATCACACATTCATCCAAACATAATGTTAAACTGATCTGTGTATCCTTGTGGTGATTGTTTTTAAATTACCTCACCCCACATTAACCATTTGAAATGTGTTAAATAGATCTAGGGGCAGTTTCTTAGCTTTTAGACTATTGTTAGGCCTGTGCAAACCCTTTTTCTGTGGGTTTATCATGCTGATGCTGAACAAAAGCACTAACTTTAAGTAATTAACGCAGGATGTTTTAATTTCTGTAATAATCAAAATCTTTTGAACTAAAATAAGGTTAAACTCTACACCATTATCTACCTGCTTCCTTTTTGATTTATTAGTTCTTCTTTGCTAATCTCACTTTCTCCAATAGCTATTATGCCTTTTTTAAAACCTGTTCTCATTTTTTTCAATTTAAAACATAACTTGTTTTTCTTTTCTGATTTTTCTGGTTTTCTGATCCTAACCTCGCATTGGAGATGGGAGCAGCTATTTCTAAAAATCCATTTTTTCATTGGCTAAAAACCTGTTTTCATGCAGTAGTTTGCCAGCCAATAAAAAACTGAAAACTGAGATTGACGAGGTCACATCAAACTGGCCCATGGATACGTAAACGTAGTTATTAAAAGCCCCACAGGGAGCTTTAATTATAGTATTGTCATTGTTTCAAAAGCACATTAAATTTAGTTGTTATTATTTGAAACAACAACTACAACTTGCATTTATATAGTGCTTCTCATGCAGGATATCGTCTCAGAATCAAAAACCTACTTAGCCTGCTTAAAAGGTTATTAATTTGGTCAGTCATTTTTGGGGTGGTATTTGGAAATGAGTTGCATTGCATTTAGTGCAGTGCTGTGTACAACTCAGTTGTGCCTCGTGCTGACACTGCATGGAGGAAAAGTGAAATTACTCAACAGTGACATCCCTGACCCCAATGAGCATAAAATTATTTCACAGACATTTTTTTTTCTGCTGGCACCATTAATGCACTCTGTGCAACTACCCTGCATTTGTCTGGACAGTAATGGGTTGGGTCCAGGTACTGAGAGCTGGTAGATGAATAACATTCTGTTTGCTTTGTAGACACATTCTTTGTTTACTTTTCCTTTTTTTTAACAGTTGTATGATGAGTGATGATATAGTTAAGCGTAGACAGATGCAGATCTACAACTATTCAGTTGTATCTATTGACATTTACTGCAGTAGGTTATTTTACAAAGAGTATATTGTTGTCTAGCAGCTGCCTCTGATAAACCAGTTTACACCACCTAAGTTGTCTTGTTCTGCTCTTTTGAATCTAGGTTCAAATGCACAGGATCACACCACAGTTTAACAAAACACTCCCATATTCAATATTACCCATGCATCAAATGTTCAGAATGACTAAATTTCCACCCAACAGGCTGTTTGCTTATAACATAATAATAAAAGTTGGTTTAAATCAAACTAACAAAAACGTTGTAGTGAAATTATGCCATACTTTGCACCCTGCCAATGATCATGTAATAGCTGGTGAGATACTGGGTTAATTTGTAGGTTGTGGTAATCGTATAAAGAGGAAATTATATTTGTACATATAATTATATATTTAACAACCGATGAAAAGAACATCCTCCCAAAGTGAAAAGCGCTATATAAGTGTAAATTGTTTTGCAAATTGTATTGTAAAAGGATTCCATCATCACTGATAATCATTTTCTTTTTTTTAAAATGTAATATGTCCAATTTTGTGTCAGACTGTGAAGCACTCTTGAGATATTATCCTGTGTGAAGGGGCTATAAATGTAATTGTTGCAGAGAACCCTGGATGGTTTTCCCCTCCATATGCCTGGGATACAGCACTGACCATGTTTCGATCAAGCAAGCTTCCAGTCGATAAGCTATAGCTCTATCCACTACAGCATTTGGACTGATCTGATAGTCAGTTTTCATTGGTTGTTGATCATATAGTTAAGGGCCTCTGTCATTGCCTTTGGTAACATGCATTTACAATTGGTTTAGACATAATCCAAAATGGACCTCAGTCTATCTGTTATCAGGATCTGTGATGGAGTTACAGCGATTACTGTTACCTTTAGCAGCAAACCCAACAGCACACAACTCAACAGCAGAATCAGCAGCAGCAACAACAAGCACCCCAGCAACAAAACAGCACACAGACAAATGGGACAGCTACTGCAGGAGGAACTGGAGGAGGGCTCCAGCATAGCCAGGATAGCAGTCTCAATCAGGGACCTCCAAACAAGAAGCCTCGAATAGGCACCACCACAACATCCACTGGAGGACCTGTTATGACATCTGATTATCAGGTTTGTGCACCTTTTAGTGCTTAGCTTATTTTTGGTATTCCGAGTCACTATATTTTCATGATTTCTAAACGGTATGAACCATATAATTTTAGCCATGGAGTCCTGGTATATTGGTAAGAGCACTCGCCACTTAAGCGAGAGGACCCGAGTTTGATTCCTGGGTAGAGCTAAACCTTAGGCAAGTTTCCTTACTCCACATGCCACTGATCAATTCCAGGCAGGGCGAAACCTTGGGCAAGTTTCCTTACTCCACACACCTAATAATAATCCCTCCAAAAAAAAACAATAATAAATTGGTCATTTTCAATCCACGACTGTTTGTGGGACACTGCTGTGCGCAATTGGCTGCCGCGTTCGCCCACAAATATACAGACAATTCACTTTGCAGTGTGTTTTGTGAAGCGCTTTGGGACATCTAGAAGACGTGAAAAGCGCTATATCAAATGCAAGGATTATTATTATTATAGTAAGTAGGAACTCTGTTGTTTATCGATTGGCAGATCGCTTTCTGGGGGTAATAATTCCTTCCCCCCAAAAATAATAGTTTGGTCACTTAATCCATGATTGTTTGTGGGGCATTGCTGTGTGGAACTGGCAGCCGTGTGGAACTGGCAGCCGTGTTTCACTCACAAAAGTATATAGTCAATTCATTTTACTGTATATTCTGTGAAAAGCTTTGAGAAGTCTCAACAATCATAAGGTGCTATGTCAAATTCAAGCATTACTATTATAGTGAAGTCTGATTTTAAGTAAGAATGATACAGCAGTAAGTCCAGTAACACCTTGGATGCTACTTGTTATGCTGCATAAAGCTGAATTTATTATTAATAATAGTGAAGGCTGTCTCTTAGATGTCAGAGTCAGTGTCTCAACGTGCACTTTATTATGATGGCACAGAATCTGTGCATACCCACTTTATCTTCATTGCTCAGTTCTGACTTTGAATTGAGTAAACACTGACTGCAGACCATATAGGTCAAGAAGGTTACAGGTTCAACCTATGCCAAGTTAACCAGAGAATTGATGGGAATACTATGAGCTAGACTTATAAAACCATAGAAACTTACAGCCATTCAGAAGAAGGCCATTCAGCCCATTGTGTTTCTTCTGTCTGTTTGAAAGAGCAATCCATTTTCGATCCATTCACCTGCCTTTTCCCCTTACCCCTTTAGTCCTTTTTGGAAAGGATAAAATATTAGTAAATGGAAAGCCTAAGTAACATAAGTACTTTCTATTCAATGTACTCCACATTAGAAAGTGTATTATAATAAGATTTCTAGTTTCCTGATGCCTTGATTGCTAACATCAATGCCAATGCAAAAAACTGATCCATTCAGGACCAGAAGATCATTGACTTGACACAGTGACTGTTGAATTAGCTGATCTCAGTCAGGTTAGGGAGTTTATAATTGAGGTTGCTGATTGTGTTCTATCACAAAATGCACATGTGTAGACTTTGGGTATGGTCAAGATTGGGCTGGGGTGTGTTTTGTCATCACACTTCAATAATTTGATGTGGATCCTGCTCCTAAGTAAGTGCAGTACTGCACTTTCTTATGAAAGCTGAGGCTAGATTGCTCTGGGTCATCTTAGAATTAGTGATTATGACTACACCGATTAGTGACCACTGTTCTCCAGTGATGGGATGAAGCCAGGATCAGATCTGCCTAATCCTGAATTCTTTTTCTCCCCTTGTCCCATTAACTGGAGGGGTGGATCTGAGTTAAATTTGAAAATTCAGTTATACTGGGTTTCTGCCGAAGAACAACTAATAGATATACATCACAATACAGGGAACAAAATCAAACTCAGAACAACAGGGATAATCTTTGACATTTTTCACGGTTTAGTTTAATTTCAATATCAGATTTCAACATCAATCTGTAATGGTATCTATTATTTAATTTCATTTTACCAAACTGTATGGTTCTCTTTGTCTTGTATGGAGTAAGCATCCTCGCCCCAGACATACATACACTAATTACCTAATCCCAGAGAACGTGGAAGATGGCTGATGAGCTGGGCCAATAGAAAAGTGCGGAAATATTTGCGCAAAATTGCAGGGTATTGGGCAAATCCTGCGAAGGGTTGGTTGATGCTATTGAGAGGCATTTTGTGAAACAACCTGGATTAAAACTATAGGGATATATTTCCAGAACCTCTATTTATGTTTAAAATACTAAAAATGTTCATTTGAATATTACAGCACTTACCAAGAATTGGTCGCAAGATCTCAGTTTAGGCCGGGAGCCGAGCAAAGCCGATTTCCCGTTCGCGCTGATTCTCCAAACCCAACACTCCCCACGCCACAAAAATTGTCTGAAATAATTTTATGCTCATTGGGGTCAGGGATGTTTGCTTCTGCAAACCCAACACTCTCCACGCCACACATTCAAATTCTGCCGCTGGTGTCCTCACCTGTACTCGGCTCCACACCCACCCTATTTCTTACCAGGCTCCATTGGCTCCCTGTGTAGAACGGATTGATTTCAAGATCCTCACTCCCAAATTAAATCTTAGCACCTTCTTAGCTCTCTGATGTGCTCACACTCCAATCGTCTACCTGCCGCCTTCGCTCAGCTGCCTTGGGTCTTCCGTACTCATAGAGCATGTGCAGAACTTCAGTCTGTTTTTCAACTCTCAACTTTCCTTCATACCTTTCAACTGGGGTTTGACCAAGTCTGGTTTCCTCTATCTCTGCAACATTTCCTGCTGACACCATAATTTCACCCCCAAATAACCCAAACTTTCATCTATTCCTCTGTCACCTCCAGACTCTTTTTTTTCAATGCTGTACTCACTGCCCTCACTAGTTCGTTTCTCCGCAAGAACCATACCATCCAGAACTTCATAGCTCACATTCTTGTGACAAATTGTGCTATAAATGTATTGTAGTGTGAGGAAAGCCACTAAAATTTATTTTTAATCAGTCAAATTGGCCATCATGTATTTATAAGAAAAGGGTTGAATCAACCCAAATGCTGTTTATATTTGTCGAATACTGTGGATAATATGTGTGTGTTTTTAAACACCAAGAATAATTGAGCTTACAAGTAAATTCTGATCTACAAAAACATCTTGCATTTATGTAGGTTAGCATGATGAAGGCATTCAATACATACAATACAAAATTACATTTGTGTAGCGCCTTTCACATCAGGAGAACATCCCAAGGTGCTGGACAGTCAGGGATTTGGTTGATTTGAATCAAAAGTAAAGCTTTTGAAGTATAATATTAGCAAATGGAAATCTAACTTGCACTTTGTAATGGGATTCTTTCTTACCAAAAATACATAGATTTCGAGAAAAAGCAGAGCGTTGATAAATTTAAAAAAACATTCCTAACCTGGATTTAGATTAGTAATATTCAAATTATATGCATTTCCTAAGAGGACTGTTGGTAATCTTCCATTCTTTTGGTGTAGGCCTTCTTGAGCGTATGAAATAATAATAATCCTTACTTTGATTCATATGAAATTGATGATGCAAACTAAAGCCAGGGTGACTTAGACACAAGTAACTTTCAAAAGTTCTGAATCAAGAAGTCATGAATCAGACGAAGAAACTTTGATTTCAAACTATTCATACTGCCTGTGTTTTTTTTTAAAAAGCATCCCATGATTAAAAGACAAGTTTGCATTAAATAATTAATTTGAATCCTGATTCAAACCAAGGTAATATGCTTGGATGAAGATTATCCTCATCTTAAAATTTACATAAACATTAGGGATTACTCATTAGTCTTGGAAATGTTTTGCAATCCTTTTTACCACAGCCCTTTTAATTATTTATTCAACAGTGTAACAGCAAATTGCACTTACGTAGCACCTTTCGCCGAGGATGAATGTTTATAACAGTTTCAAATAGTTTAAATGAAAAATGGTCCCAACTAACAAGCATGTTTACATGAAGTGATTCAATTTCTCTTCCAGTTTCTAGGTAAAATTTGTGGTGGAGAAGTTTAGATTTTGAACATTTAAAATTTCATTTTGTAATTCCAGGATCACCAGTATAAATCTAAATGTTACTTATATCAGGAATTCTACACAACAATAGTGAATAAGATGTAGTTTGTTGCATTGGAATACTATCCTTAATTGAACATAGGAATAGAAACATTGAAATCTACAGTGAATTAAGAGGCCATTTGGCCCATTGAGTCTGCACCAGCTCAAAGCAAGCTGTTCATTAAGTCCTGCCCAAATATACAAGACTAAAAAAAAATGATGGCGTCCAGACCTGGTACCTCTGCATTCAAGCTTGCAGTTGAAGAGATAACTCTCAGCTCAGACAAAGACGAATCATTGCGGAGGGGAGGGATGTCAGAGGGATCCAGTCTAGTATAGAACCATTCTCCAGCATATTAGCATCTTCAAGAGAGGAATAAACAAAAGGGGACAATAGGAAGCAAAGATAACACCAGACAACCACTTTTCATATAAACAGGGTTGATGTGTTCTAAGGTACATAATGAGATGCAACTTGTACCTTAGTTCACTTGCCTGGAAAGGCCTGCTACGTTCAACCTATGTTAGCACTATTACTCTTCCCTATTTTTAGATATGGCTCTGAAAGGAAATTAACAGCTGAATGGCCTCAGTCACTTATCAGCAGTGCCTTTAAATAGCTGATAGATTCTGTTGCTTTAACCCTCAGTCAGTTAAGCTGGATGGTGCTGTCTCCAATCACTGCCCTGCTGTCCTGAAGCTTAAAATATTGTAGCTTCCTTCTTCGCTCTTTGACACACCAAGAGTTGAGGAGCACGACTGATAGAGAGAGGGGTTGTTCCAGTGCCCAATGCAAAGAGAAGCTCATCTGACCTTATTTCCCTCCCGCCAACCACCACAACACACACGCACACTCCTGAGTCTAAATTGAGGGGAAAATATCCACCTGAGTACAGATATTCTTCAAGAAACCAAATCCAACTTTTGTGATGTTGTAAATTAGGACTCTTATTCCTCATTCTCTCCTTTTCTTTGAGAAGGAGAACAGGCAGGCACATCAGGGAGGCCAGTCCACAACCATCATTTTGTTTATATAACTTGGCCCAGGTTCCTTCTCCACAAACTGCCTAATTATTTTAATCCATTTGTTTCAAGAAGTGATTCTGGGATGGATAGGTAGATTATTACTTTCATCCTACACATAGCAGAGCAAAACCCTGCCATACTCGCTAATCGCTGGGGCTAGGTCCTGGAGGGTTGTTGCCATTGTTCACCCAGAAATCACGCAGTCACGCCACCTTACAGTACAGCCTATGAATTGCTTTGGGACATGCTCCTGATGTGAAAGGTGCTATACAAAATGTAGGGATTATCATTATTGGGAATCATACCCCAGTTATTGCTTTTAGGAGAGGGAGAAAATCAGAGGGTGAAATTATATAGATTATAGTCGCGTAAAAAGGAAGGTATTTTCCCCAAATGGTTTATAATATATGCAAAGCTTTGTTTGATATTTCTGATATAAAATATCCAGTGCCATTGAAAGGCCTCTTATCTGCCACTGCAGCAGCTCACAAGGCTGCAATGTTTTTATTTCAATATACTTTTGAGCAGTTTTAGACTATGTATGCCATCCAATGTCAAATGATTCTGGCAAATTATGTATGTGCTTCTAATGTATTGTATTTAAATTGCATTTTTTTCAGCACTCCAATCCACGCTTGGGTTACCAAAGCAGTGTGCAGAGCTCATCCCAATCCCAGGGCACTATGGGATATTCCTCGTCAACTCAGCAAAGCTCTCAGTATTCACACCAGCCCAACAGGTACTGCTAAGAACTGCTGGCATTGGTTCAGCAAGGACTTCCAGGAAGCCTTCAGCAATAGTATGGTAACGGTTCCAGTTAGAGGAGCCAAAAAGACTTGATTGACGCATGTAAGTTATCTCATTTTCAGATCTAACAACTGGTATTATTTAGTGAAGATTAGGGGGAAACTACTCACAAGAGAACGTCCTGACTGTCTGGAAATCTTTCCATTATTGATGCCACTGAGAAGATTCCTGTCAGCACCATTTCTCTGAGACTCTCTGTAAATATCTTGTAAAAAGCAAGAAGATAACTTCTTACCCAGCACTAGAGTTCCTCCACTAAGGAGCAGTTGAAACATTTTCACTGTGTTTTTAGAGCACTTTTTGATGCAGTAACAGGATTTCCTGTTGCTTATGCTAAAATCTAAATGTAGGAATTCCATGCTTCAGGTATAAGGCCTGCCTGAGTAGTGTTTAACATTATGGAAAGAAACAATGTTTTTTATATGTAAACACTGGTACACAATGATTTGGTTAACTTTTCAAGCACTATACCAGTTTATGCAATGTGGCTCTTTCTGCTTTTAAATCTGCAATTTGTAATAGGAACTTCTTTTTATTTTATCTTCCAAACATCAACGTATATTTCACAAAGGTATTTTTTAAATATATATATATATTAACTATTTTTCCCTAACATTAAAACATTGTTTTAAAAACAACCTTAATAAAAAAAACACCAACTCCTTTGCTTTTTGCTTCCATTCAGTAGTGCACATTCCCAATGTTTCACCAGCATTACTACATGTAACCTGCCTGATAATTACACTGAGTGCATTGCTTTAAGATCCTTTCACTAGGGGATTCTACAAAATCAGCTCATTATATCTTCTTCAGAACAGTGTCATTCCCACTCTTTGAGCCTTTGGCTGACCAGCTTCTCAGGGAATTTCTATTGTTCAGCCTCTTCAGATTTCGTTCTATCTGCCTGTTTTTAATATTTCATAAATCTTGTTTCATTTTTACCAATGACTCACTCGTACACAGTGTCCCTTTTCTTATCTGTGTGTCTTGTAAGTGACATTCCTAACAGCCACAGTATCTCACTTGCATAGATTATCCAGTACATTATGTATGTCTAGCAGGGATTACAAGGCTCTAATCTGTGGAAGCAGGTGACATAATATGCAAGGACAGAATTTGAGCCACTTATAACCAGTACCTGAACCCAAGATTAGTTTAGAGACATGATATCTGTTCTTTGTTTTTGTAGATGATTAATTATGCATGAGATTTCATGTCTGTTCCAGCAACATAATAATAATAGGAATAGGCCATTCAACTCATTGAGGCTGTGCTGCCATTTTCTTATATTGTGCTAGTCTTTATTGTATTTAGTCCTATTTCCCGTTGTTCTGTTGTGCCCACTATGTCCTTGGTACATCATGGAACTCACACAAGAGGTATTAATGGTTTGTAACTGTGATTGAGAAACGTTTCGTACTTGATTTCTGGGAATACTCAATTGATTTATAAATGAGATTATCGATGGTAAATCAGGTGTTGATATCTATTGTTTTCTAAAATGTATACTTTTTATTGGTTTGTAGAACTTTTGACCGTATTTATGCAATTTCAAGGTTTCTTGTCCTGAGGGCAGAATATTAGTCTTAACTACAATCCTGATTGACGTTTATGAAAGGATTGTGTGCTTCTTGTTACATAATCACTAAGGGACTATTGAAAACACAATTAGAAGCTATTGGAAAGTGTACAGTATTGTTTTGCAAAGAATGAGCATTTCTACTTAAGTGGAAAGGCTTGAAAAACAAAGGAAGTCGAGAGGGGATATAATCAAGGCCCTGGAAGGAGATTGCATGGAGCAGAGCTCCTGTGGATAGACATAATGCATTTTCTGTTGGGGTCATTGTTTACTATTTGCGAATCTAGATAGCAAATACTGTACCACCTTGTCACTACATAATCATTTCTTAACTGCCAATTGATTTTTTAACCTCCAATTAATCACAGATTTTTAAGAATTAGACTTGTCATATTACCACTGTAAATCAGGTGATCGCTAGCAAAATTGATAAAAAAAGAAGAATCTGAGTAAAACAACAATTTCTGGAAACTCATTTTACTATCATTAATTTTCTTTACTTAAACTAATCTTCAGGAGTATGTAAAATCGTTTGTGGTGAGATGCCTGAAAAAAAAGTTACTTGTTGGTGCTTGAAGAGTTAACCAAATACGACCACAGTGGTCTGAACACTTTACTGTTAATGCAAGATTTTAACTTGATAGGGATGTTTATTCACAGGATGACATAATGATAGTTACGTACCTGGACTGTGCAGGCACTGTGTATCATTGCAGGTCCTGCTCTTACGTTCAGCAAACAAAATATTCATTTTTTCCTTTGAGTTCAAAACTACAGAAACTCATTTTGTTTTATATAAAAAAAAATCAATTTACAATTGAAGCAGCACACTGTCCCTGCTGGAATAAAGTACTGTGGTCAAGTGAAGTTCATAACAATGAATCTATCCCACAGTGTCCTTCCACTATTGTAACAGCCACTCTAGCGATACCCAAGGCTTTGCAGCAGATGCAAAGGCATTACAATTCAATCACTCATGGAGAAAAGGTTTCAGGATTCATTGATGCCTGACTTATGGGAGTTTCAAATCTGTCCAAGAACAATGGGTGTGTATGCACTGTCAGCCATGCAATATCCTGCTTCTCCGACTTGCATCCTGGCCTTGGTAGGTGAAAAGCTGGCACAATTTTTGTAAAGACTTAACTCGACTGTAGTGTAAGAGCAAAGAAAAGGGAATATTTTTAAAATTACTAAAAGAAAAGACTTTCTTGTATATACATTTATCTCCCAGAAACATTTTCCAGTATGTGTTTTGTGAATGCTGCTCCAGCAATAAACATAACAAATATATGGCAATCCTGTAGCATGTGCAAATCTATAAAGGATCTTAAAGACCTCTAGCTGTACCCTAAAATGTAATCATAAGTATATATACAGAGGTCTCTGTTTCATCCTTTACCTCAGCAGTAGTGTACCTGTAAATAACTGAAGCAGCTAAGGCTTTCAGAAAAAAANCTGCATTTAAATTTCAGCAGAATTTATAAAAACATACTTTTTTTAAAAAAAATCAATTATTTAATCTGGAATCAAAATAGTACTTTTTTTAAAAAGAAAATTGCTTGTTTAGATTGATAGGTAGTAGATCTGTTTTCTATAGAAACTTTTTTTCATATATTGTGTAGCTGAGACGAGCAATCCTTACAAAGGCAAAAAAAATCCTAATGAATTGTCAGAGACAAATTAAAACATTGTTAGTAATTTATCTGCAGATTAATGAGTTACGCTCTGTATATTCTAGCATATTACTTGAGCTGTATAATAAAGGACTTCAATGCTAAGATTCTTGTCCTGAAAGCACGTTATCTCCATATTCTTTGTGTATAAATTATTCCAGTGTATTTAATTTTTTTTAAATAACTGTCTTCTTGGACACTAAAGGAAATAGTGTATTATATGTAGCGGAAGTAAGGACACGATGTCCTTTATCACCGTCAAAAAATAAATGTTGTAATTACATAATTAGCATTTAAAACTGCACTTGTTATTGACAGTTTATCCTTGTAAAGGTTATGGATTTGTTGCATTTTCTCCATCATGTACAAGAAAATGATAGAAATGTTCACTCCTTAGTTTTGCTATTATATGATATAATAGATGTGTAAGCTTCTGATGTTTTGTTACTGTGATTTCATGGCTTTCAAGGATGACAATACAAAGGTGTCATGGAGAAAATAGAACAGCATTACTGGAATTATAAAGCTTATTAATAACATTAAATTGCTGATTTTAAAAAAGACTGTTATAACTAATTTGAAAAGAAATGTGTGAATTTATTTTATATCCTTGATTGTAATAAAAGCCTCACTTGCTTCTGTTTCTGAGTTTAAAATTATTGGAAGCTGAAATGTTTAAAACACATCAGTGAGTTCAGTGACATTGCATATTGGAGTTCCAGCATAATGTGCCCAAAGTATAGGTTATAGTTTCCTAGTGGTTTTCCTCACATGATGAATTACTAATCTTAGTCATGAGGCAATGCTAAGTAGTTTTCCTCAAGGGTGAATCAAAAATCCCAAATTCCTGATTTAGATGGTACTGAATAGAACCTCAAATTATATGCTGCTTTTTTTTGTCCAAGTCTTCCAATCTAAATAATGTGTTTGTCAATTTGCTCTCGATAATACAGAACCCCATTTTCTTAATCCACTATGAGTCTGTTTGGAAAGGTGCTAAGTCATCCACGACACAACTACAAAAAGTCCACTGAATGTTAACAAAGGAGGGCATATGTAGCTTAATGGTTAGAGCACTTACCTCGCAAGTGAGAGATCTGGGTTTGATTCCCGGCAGGGCGAAACATTGGGTAAATTATTGGTCACTTGAATCTACGACTGTTTGGGGACGCTGCTGTGTGCAATTGGCTGCCGCGTTTCACCCACAAAACATACAACTTACAGTACATTCTGTGAAGCTCTTGGAGACGTCTCGAAGACGTGATAAGGTGCAATATCAAATGCAAGGATTAATATTATTAACCCAAATTTTCCTTTATTTTTACCAAAAGGAGCTGTTGATTTCTGTAAAATTTTAGGTTGAGTAAAATCTCTGCATTCCTCTCTTTTCATTGATCCCTTGTAATCACGTTTGCTCTTCATCATATGATGAAAGGATAGCTATGGAAGTTGTAAAATATTTATCTAAATCATTTAGTAAAAGCTATCATATTTAAAATAATTCTCGATTGTTAAATCCTTCGGCACCACCTACTGGATATCTACACTGACTCAAACCATGAAAATGTTACACAGATTGTGCAAGCTCCAATATATGTAATCTATTAAACATGTGAATTTGGTCTTAAAGGCCTTAGCCCAAGCCCAGAGGTATTGCTGACCTTGGCATGACCTTTATTTTGTTCCAGTCACTAATGGGAAGCAAAGTTTCCTGAATACAAAGGTAGCAGTTTACTAAGAACATCAGAAAAGGGATTTGCCTGTTAAATCCACTCCTAGCTGCCACCCAAAATATACCCTATCCTGAGCTCCATGGAGCTATGCATATCCCCTGGGGAAAGCTCTAGTGAGACTCTTTGACAATAGTCAAGCAAACACTGCAGAATACTGTATTCATCCATCCCCATATCTGCACTATTCATCCCTGGCCCGCTACACTCTACTAATTGCCATCTTCCGCCTCTTCAGTTCAATATGGTGTGCTTTGCAGTATTTTGGGAGAGCGCTATATAGGTGCAAGTTGTTGTTGTTGTTTGTTTATCTTGATCTGAATCTCAGACTGAATCTGTCCCCACTCTTCCCAATAATTTTCACAACAGATGCCCGTCCAGTTCTTCTGCTGAAGTTGATTAATAGTAGTGACTATTTCTGGAATCTGTTGCATCATGGTCAAATATTCATTCTTGTATTATCTATGCTTCTGAAGTATTGCTCCTAAGCCTGGCTGCTAGCAAGGGCTTCAAGAGAAATGTGTTTCCCTCTGATTTTCTTTTCCTCCCTGGAGAAGTGACAGGCTTCTGCTTGTTGCCTTCCATAACTGAACGACCGATCTCTAACTGGTTTTATGGGAGCTGGTGCCATACACAAGTG